AGAGTTTATGAGGAAGACGCTGTCGAACATGTTCAAGAGGTAACGACTGGTTCTGCAGGAGAGAAAAAGATGAATTTAATACATTAAAATAGTACTCAAAAGTAACATACTTTGAATTAATTAGATGTTTTAAGCCTATGAAGTACTTGGGATGCAGAGGCTACAAGCTTCTGTAGCCTTTAATTATCTTTTGATTAATGATGAATTTAAGAAGCCAATTGTAATATTTAAGTGACCTAAAGGAGATGTTTTAGTTTTCGATAGGCATGTGGAAATGGAGGTATAAGTAGACATAATTGGTACTTTATTAAGAAAATTGTTGACAACCTTTGTGCATTGGCAGTAACTAACATTGTCAAGCAGTACAAGTCAGATGATGAACTAACAAAGCAACATTGAATATTGAGGTAACAACCTAGGGTTAATCAATTAACAAGCATACGTTGGTGGGAACAAAAAAGTACGTAGTTGCATAAGGTAACGTAAGTCAACATCATTTTGCTTAATACAAGCAAACAAAATCTCATTTTTTTCCTCGTTTTGTTACTCTTCTTGTCTCTGACTCTTTATTTCTTCTCTCTTCTTAACTTTAAGTTCTAATTTTCAGTTATCAATGAGATTTAATCTAAGAATTTTCAAGGGGTTAATGTTAATGTCCTTTGAAGACACTTTGTTGAATTTTTAGAATGAAGAATAAAGATATTTGAGAAGAATGGTTTGTTCTAATCACACTTGACTAAGTATTGGATGACTTGCAGTTCTTTTTTTTTATGTGTTGGTGTCTGCTCCAATTTGCATGCAGGTATCTTTGAAAAAAAATAATCTATCAACGAGAATAATAGTAATATCTCAAGCTCTTATCTTGTAATGTTAAATTTAAGACTAAATATTGTGTTTGTTCGGGATGTCGGCGAACCCCATTTTAAATTTAATTAAAATTGATTTTTGTTGAGCATTAATTTTTCTTATTTGTTATTTTCTAATTTTTTCAGTATCGAAAAGTATATTCACAGACCATTTATTGTTTTATGGAACTTTCTAGTTTTATTGTTGTTGTTTTAGAATAAATATCTTATTATTTTGGGTTTGCATGAAGCCTATCTAGTTTTATTTGTCATTATTGAAATCCACCAAAGTTTTGAATTAATTATGAAGATATTTTCCTTTATTGTTTCTATTGAGTTTTTTCTTTTTGATATTCTTTTTACCTCTATATATGGTTTTGTCTGTCTTGAAAAACTTATGTACTAGACTATTTAAGGTGTAAGTGAGACTACTTTAGTTGTAATTCTGAAATTCAATTATAAACAAAATATCAAATCACTTTTTTTAAGATATTTTTTCCAACTTATTTAATTAGTGGTTACACTTTATCTGCAAAGGCAAACATCAAGGAAGACATAATTGAAAAAAGTAAGAGCAAACTTGTTTTCACGGTATCATAGTTGTAAAAAAGTTTCTCCTGCTGCCATACTTACCTTAGCTGATATTTCACAGATATCTATGGCGGTCATATCAAGAAATTTCTCCCCTAATTCGCCTATTAATGTTGCAATAGTTGATCCACTGCCATCTATCATTACAACCTCAAAGCGGGCCCTAACATGCAATTAATTTGCGTTATTTGATTTTCATAAAGCCAATGACCGAAGAAACTTTCTTTCTTTGAAGATGTAGAACAAACATATTTTATTAAGCTCGGACTCCAAGACGCAATACATAGGTGTCAACATCGCACGTTGCTTGCAACTCGTACAGTGAATAATATTCGGCAAATGAGTTCTGTACTGCTGCCCGCAATGGGAACATAGTAATTCATAGAAATCTTGGTCAGCAGTCGGAAATGATAATTTACCTTCCACGTAAAACAGTTGTATCTGTGAAAGAGCAGAATGCAAGTAGATTTATTTAGTTGGGTTAAAAATACTAAAGTTGTCTATATGTACACATATTAGCATGCGTGAAATGCACATACATGAGGTTGTGACTCGATAGCAACAATTGGGACAATATCGTTTTGTTCTGTTGCAAGCACCAGAGACGAATCAACCGCCGTTTGTTGACTGTATCTCATTAGTCTTGGTCGGTTGTCTTTGATCCTGTATGTGTATAGAGGCATTTCAATGGCAACAAAATGTGAGGTACATTTAAAATGACACAAAGAGGTTGTGACAACTGACAAACTTAAAAAACATAGGAAATAACAGGAATTGGTTGTTCCAGCGAGAAATTATTGTGCATATTATACCAACAACACTGAAAATCAACAGAAAGTACCAAAAAAATATTTCTTCTAGTTGACCACAATTATAATGCATATAACATAATTTTCAACCGGCCAGAGCTCCAACATATAGTACAAATGTGGTGTGTGGACATATAGTGTAGACACGTTCTAAAAATACAAAGAAGAAACTATTAGCCTCAGTGACTGCAGTAGTTCCTGTTGGAGGAGTAAATTAATTTTGCAGAAATCTAGTCAACATTGAACAACAGTATCACCTTATTTGTCAGATGGTACAGCAACTATCTCCGAAAACCAATGCGGTGCAGTGGTGTTTTATAGCTAATCAAAGGGGTAATAGTACATATTGGAAGTTCATAGAAGTACTGGTTATTCTTACCAATGTTATATATGCCATACTAAAATACTCACTGAATATAAGGGCAAACTGACACTCCCCCAAGAGTTGTTCAGTAAATTATTTTGGTGAGAAAATTTGCATATAAGCTCTAAGATTTTAAACTCATAAAGTTATATTGTAAAATGAGATGCAATGTAGTTCAAAATCATCTCAATTAAGATACACAGATGCCAAGTTGTTATAAACTTGTAATTAACTGAAAGGAAAATATTGAATTTATAGCCTGCTAAGTATGTCTCTTTTTTTTGGGGAAGAAGGGAAACACGGTAGTGCAGCAGGAAATTGCATATGCTGGACCATCTAGTGTAACCCACACATGTTTAGTTTACATGAACTAATTAACCAAATATAAAATTCAATTATGTCAATATTTGTTCCATACTAGTTTAAAAGTCTTCCAACTTGAGGATATGGTGGATTTATCAGTATAACTGAGTTTTACCTTGTCGACAATGATAATCCTATATGACATATTATGTTAGTAAAGAATTCACGACAGACCTCTTGCAGTATCCAAAAAAAAAGCGTAATGTTTTCCATACCGCCTTAGCTGGCTCGCGTAATTCGTTTTGCTACAATTATTGGGTATTCAGCAACCTGTGCAGCGAGGATGCTCCCATCAGTGTCGGCGAAATCTTCCCACATCGTAAGGATAGTAGGCCTCATACTGCAGTAAAATGAATGGACAATAAGTGACACTACCTAATAAGAAAAATATAAGTCTAACAATGTCAGCAAGAGTAATAAAGAAGAGGTAAATATCAAATTAGCAGAGACAATTCGGTAAGACTGGAATTCAAACAATGCTATAAGTAAGTAACATGTTCGCGCAGGAGAGTGAAGGTTGACAGAAAGGTCATTTAAATGATGCATATTGTGTGTTTAAGCATACAAATGCAGCATGACCTATACAGTTTTTTTCCGGTTTGGAACTAATGACTTCTAGAATATGTAATTGTCACCATATTTTCTAAAGTCTACGCAGCGAATATATAGTAAAAATATATATTTTAGGGTTCGAAAAAGAGAACAGATTCTGTCTGTGTAGGAACTTAAGAACTTATCTAAATAGTTTTTCATATGTTAATATATTGTACTTTATCATTCGTTGTTAAGGTTTTTTTGTCAACCAAAAATATTTCTACAGAAAGTTGTAATTGACGTAGAAGAGTAAATAAGGGAGCATTTGGATGGATGCTTTCAGCCAACGTGACACATTGGAAAATCAGGTTATTGGCTTTTGAAAAATCATCAGCACTTCATTTCCTAGTTGATCAAATTCATCAAGATCTGTTCTGTTTAAGGGTCTCAGTGTGTGTCTATTTGTTAAAATTGCATTTGTAATTAGTGGCTTATTGTCTTTATTTGTTTTCTATAAACTTGCATACATCTAGTATGTGCTTTCTTATTATTCCTCTTGTATTTCTTGGATTTTGGGATGTCTTAAATCTACTGAATCTTAAGGAGGTTCAGGGTTGGTTATCTAAAATAACGAAGGTTTCCGTGTTCTCCATAGTGTAGTATAAACTGTTTAACCAATTCTGTGGTTATGATGTCCAGCTATCGGGTTTAATGCACTCACCATCTACTCAAAGCTGGCTTAATACTCAAAGTAACTCATATTATATATGAATCATGTTTTAGCTACAAAAAATGACGCGGGCAGTAGAAGATGAGGAATATTGATCTCCCGCTTACTAATGAAGTCTTCTTGACTAAGATGTGTCAGATGATCGCAGTCAATGTACACATTAAAAAAAGGCAGTAATGGACATATTAAAAAAACAGTGGTAAATACATTTCAGGCTTCGCTGCATTTCTTTTCTCGTGAGTAGTATTGGATTTTACCAAGGCATACAAAAAAAAATTGTACTAAAACCATGGTAATCGCTGAAATGTTGTAGCTCAAAATGTCAGGACGAAGAGAAAGCTGGATTATGACTGAAAGCCTATACAATTTCTTTTTGGAGATCTTATGCCTTGTTCTATTCGTAGAAAGATTAAATTTGTTGAATGAAACGGTAAGGTAAGTGTCATAGATCAAGCTGACGATGCAATAAATAAGTCTGGAGAAATTTCTTCTTGCCAGCTTTAGTCGAAGAAGGTGACACTGATGAGGAGATGGCTGAGATTATAATCTCATGACATTATAACTTCTTAATTGAAGGTATCTGACCGAAGTAATCAACTGAATAAGACGACATTGTAGCCAATTTTTTTTAAAGTAGTTGCGACAACAATAAAGTAAATAGAGTGCCAGCAGACTGACTTGGTATCCATTACGACGACTTACGGCATTTGTTACTGTTAGCGCCAACATACTTTATGGAGCCACAATTCACCACAACGGCAACTATGTCTGTTTAGTGAACATTGCAAATGACTTATAATTTAGACCAATGTACACAGTTTCAGAATCTAAGGATACAAATAAATTTTAATTGTTAGAATATACTACGCGTTAAATAATGGGTACCAAATTCGGTATTTCGCTGCTGCTCGTGCAAAGGCAAAGGGTACAATATTCAACCTCGTCGGTGGCAGGAGCGGTGGGTCTTGTATGTTATCATCTTTCACCTTTTCGACGACAGTGAATTTGTCAATAACCCATTCAAAACGGTTGATAGGCACTCCGTAGGGTAAAGGAACCATCACTTTTGCATTGATATCAAGTAAGTGGAAAACGGGGTGAGCTTGTCTGCATACTTTTCTATGTCTTCCCCGTACAGAACAGCGGCTACTTGCTCTTCCTATAATTTGATAGAATGATGAGTTACTCAACTACCCTTGCGGAAGTGTATCCATATAGACACATGGAGACATACATATGCAAAATACTGAAATATTAAAATAGTAAACAAGTACAGTATGAGCAGCCTCAAACTCATGAAATACAATTGATAACTAATCTATACAAGAATTGGAATTTGTAGAGCGCTACCAAAAAAGGGGCGCGGGGAAGAATATTAATCAGTCATAAAGCGTAACTAAAATTGTTTCATATCATTGACATAAAGTCAGCATCTCTCTTTGAACTAAAGAATGTGTAGTTGAACTCCACATTCTCAGATGTAGATCTCATGCAGCAAAAGTAAAGAGAATCCACTGTATTACATCGCAAAATATGTAAAGTAATTATATATGTCTAAAACGTTTAAATGAGATAAGAAACTGAGTCGGGAAACTTTTTGTGACCACCCCAGAAATTCTAAAAGTTTTAGCTACTTCTGTTATGAGGCCAAGCTGAAGCTGCCACCACTTTTAGCTACCTTTCTTATGATGCCACCATCTCAAGCTTCCACCAGCTGTTTTCTCTTTTCTTCTACTTGTCAATTGGAATTTAGGGGGCAAGGGATAACTAAATGCACAGGTTCTTGAGAACATGAAAATTTGGACAAAACGATGGAGGAATAATAGCATAACCAAAGTTGTTTGTGAAACCTTGTTACTGCTCGAAACAACTTTGAATGAAATTGATGATATTTCATTCTTAGTCTCACTAATAGTCCAGTAGTAATAGTAGAGAAAGCAAGTTAATAGTTCCCCATGGACGACATCAAATAGACATGTTACGAAGTGTGGTTCGTATTCCATGCGGGTAAAAAGTTAAAAAATCTCTTGGTAAACAGAAAAATTAAAATGATGTATACATTAGTTAACTGAAAATTGGTATTACATGGAAAATGCGTAGTGTAGCAGTCAAAAGGCTTGCAACAGGGTAGTAAATAAAATGAACTTCAAAGGATTGCAAATTAGCAGGGTGAATAATAACTTGGATACAATGTATGACTACCATAGGACATTGACATATTAGTTACTCGTATTATTATTAGCCAACTACATAAAATGTTTCAAGGACAAAACGATGATTTCAATAATCTGTCAATTATGAAAGTCTAAGTTTACTACGTTAGAGAAAACGTCTACATTTAATCCTTCAGCTTACTAAATAAAAGCATAGCTGATCAGTTAACACAAGGAAAACAATATGGTTTTAATAATCTGTCAATTGTGGAAGGATAAGTATGAAATGACACTCCTACAGTTGAAGGAAAGGTCTAAAGTGCTAACTTAACGAATGAAAATCAATCAAGAAGAGTCTTTCACGTAAGAGAGCACTTTAAATTAAAAGGAAACATATTCCTATGTTTATGCCCAGGTATGTGTGAAACCTAATATTTAATTGGCATTATGCAAGTAATTTGTGAGCTGAAGTACTTCAATGAGCTGTTTCTGGTATTATTAGCATTGTGGGTGTGTGTTCAACAAATACATGATCTATCAGATGTCTAGCAATTAAGAATGCTTCCATTTACTCTATTGTTTGAAATAATATATGTAATCTGAGTTTAACGTGAGTTTATGTTGTTTATTGTAATGCATAATTTGGATTTTCAAAAGTCTTCCTATTACACAAATAGCATCTTCCTAGAATTTATGAAGATTTATATTACTTTTTGTAACGTAACAGATCTCATAATGATATCTCGGAAGATAAATTTGAAGCTAAAAATAATTAGAGGTACGTAATGACAAGCTTATCATCGTGACTAATTTATGGACATCTGTTTTATCAGAGTGTGGCCTTTGAGAAAGAATATTTAATGAATGGAATAATTACCATCAAATTGGTCATGCCTTCTGAATTCTTGCCCTTTAATTTCTTAAGATGTAAGAAGTTTAAGCAAATTTCAAATGCGACGACTGCAAAGTGTACTGCAAATATATCCTTCTGGACAAATAAAGTACTATAAAGGCACAAATATGTAATCCAAAAAAGAAATTCCAAAGTTTGGTACCACAATTTTTATCTAAAAAACTAATATCAGACAAACATGAATGGTAAATGTGGAATATCTACTTTCATAGAGCACCTCAAAAATTTAGTTCCTCACATAGCAAGTGTGACAGAAACGATTAAACTTGTGGTTACCTAAGTAGATGGATCTGTTTCTTTTCTTTCAATTAAAGAATACTTGCGATTGCAATTATATTTCAACCAGTAGAATAAGAAGTGACACGGTAGTTAGAAGATTACTTTTTCATCTCGGACAACAGCAATCTGGAATCGCATCTTTCCATCTTTACTTTGCCTTGGCCGCGGTTTCTCAATCAGTTGTACCTTTGATGTCCACTCTTTTGTTTGTGGAGTAATCCTATCAATGGTTAATCTGTACTCCACGTATTATGTAGACTCTACATTGGGGGGAAAAAGACATCATCAATTTATACCGAAAGATAAAAAACAGGTACATACAGATAATAAAATGGATGACCTGATTAGACGGATTAAATTTTTGCATTTAATAAATTATATGCAGTGAAAATTAGCACACGAACTCTGCATTATTAGTTAAAAAAATCAGTCATGGCTAATTAGCTTGCCCCTGCATATCTAATGACTTTGTAGAATCTAACGAATTGTTTTTTCTGGTACTACATTTTCATGCAAAAATACCTCTCTACGATCATCTAAGCGAATGCTACAGCCTCCTATTGATTCATCTTTGTTGGAGCAGTCATGTGCGCAAATAGCATCAGCTGTAGTTTTCAACGCTTGAGCGAATACAAGCTGATTGCTACCAACCAGATTGCACATCATAAGTATCCTTCGTCGGCTATTTCATTTTTTAGTTAGGATACTATCTGTTCTTGGCGGAATATCCCTATAAAGTAGCTTTTTGGATGATTTCTTTGTAAACAATGTTATCTGTTAAGTGATCGTCCGCGCTACCTGGTATAGTCGGTCGGATTAGCACTTTCACGCAATTCGAACTCTTTGCTTTGGACAAAGCCACATAAAGTTGACCGTGCGAAAACACAGGTTCTCGCAAATAAACTCCAACAAAATCTAATGTCTGATGTTGCGCTTTATTTATAGTCATTGCAAAGCAAAGTCTTACAGGAAATTGTGTCCTTTTAAACGGAATAGGCATTTTTTCATCTTGGGATGATAATAGTGGTATTTTGGGGATAAACACGTGTATTCTTAAAGTGATCAACTGAAATATTGGCGTTAATAATATGCGATTTAATATCACATCAAGTCAAACATGTTCCATTGCATAAACCATCACATGGATTTAAATTGCGTAATAATATAATTGGACAATTTTGTTTCAATGTCAATTTGTAAGGAGGCAGACCACGTGGATTTAAACTGTGCAACAGATCCTCAAATTGTGATTGAACATGATGTTCAGTAGTTTCATCAATACTAATAAAAGTTTTTGATTCTTCTGGGAAACGAGCAACAAGCATGTCGTTGATATCGTCGACGAAATCATTCTTAGTTGTTAAGATAATGCGGGAACTTGTGTAGCATGAGGAGGAAAAAAGTATATGCACATCTGGATAAGTTATTGCGAATAATTTATCCCAAGATTCATGTTCGGTTGTATAAGGAATGATCAAAGAAGTTGGAATTTCAATCTTGTTTGTTGAGTTTACTTTTTCTTCTCCGTTTCCTATTTGCAACAAATAATTACAGAATGAAGGATCATCTTTCGCTCTCATATTTTCGAATAGCCGCAGCCTTTCAAGTTCTTACCAAATATGAGCATATAGTAAACTTTTATTAATGAAATCTTCCTTTTTCCGTTCCGAACTACCGGCAATGTCTGCCTGAAGTCACCTCCAAGAACTACAACTTTTCCACCAAATAGTATCGTTGAATCTATTAAGTCCTTCAAAAGTAAATCAAGCAGTTCAATTATTCTTTTTTTTGCCATAGATACTTCATCCCATATAATTAATTTTGTATCCTGAATCAAACAAGCAAGTGATCTTTGTTTGCTTATGTTGCAGCTCACATTGTCGTTAGTATTTCTTGGTATTTTAAAATGTGAATGTATAGTTCGTCCACCAGGGAGTGTAGATGCAGCTACATCGGAAGTGGCAGTTGCCAATGATATATACCCTTTAGATCGTATAGTTGCCAACAATGCACGATATAAAAAGGTTTTCCCTGTTCCTCCAGGTCCGTCAATGAAGAATGCCCCAGCTTTGTTTGAAAAAATTCTCTCTGTAATTATATTGTATGCTTTAAGTTGATCATTATTCAACCTTTTGTGTAATAGTATATCCTCATTAGTAACTGTGATGGTCCTTTCAAAGTGTACCTCCTTTGCCTCCTTTGCTGCTATTGAAGGCCTTACTGTTTTAGGAATGAGTTGGTATTCATTTATGTCACCACCCATAGAATAATATGTCATTAATATGATTCAAAACTTGGTATCGAATATTTTTTTTGTTAATATTGGATACCAACATATAATCCTCGGACATATGCTCTTCAAATTCTTCCCAGAGTTGTCTTGGATTTGTAGAATTACAATAAATCAGTAATGTAGAAAATAAACATCTCAAACTGTATGGAATCTGGTAACTTGCTGCTTCTGACATGCATTCAAGCAAACTATTGTCACTTTGTAGCAATCCCCATTTTTCCACTGATTCTCTAAAAGTGTTGCAACGTTCTCCATTAACAGTTAGTAAATCCTTATATGATTTTGGTCCTCTAATATTCATTAATAGCATTCTAAGATAATATCGCTCACCTTCCGTTGGATGACATGTTACAACACGACCAATAGCATGTTGTTGTTTTCGAGGTGTCCACATCTTCTCTGTTGAAGACCAAACAAAATGTTCAGGGAATTCCCGGTATAATAAATTGAGCTCCATAGCCTCAGCATTTGTTCTATTCATTTTGAAAAATTGTGTTAACATCGCATGCTTAATCAGCGGATTATTTACAAGTGTATCTACATTTGCGCTACTTCTGAATGAAACAAAATGTTTTCCCTTAAGATGAAGTTGAGAGGGAATACGGTCGGTAACATTTCACTAATCGAGAAACCATACAAGCGCCACATAGCCTCGGGAGGCAACACCCATATAGCAAACTGATATTCCTTTATTTCATCTACTTTTGTGTTTGTCTCGTTATTATGTATCGAAAATGCAATCCTGTCATGTCCTTTACATATATACTTATAAAGATACTTAACGACTTTAATATCAGAGCATATTTCAACATTCAGATGGTAGTCAAATTTGCCTAGCAAAAAAGGACTATATGGAACAACCCATGAGCTATCCAAGTATTGTTCTCTTATTTTTACCACCAACCCTGTATTGCGTCTTCTATAAATTTGGTAAGATTCTATTACTTTTGATGTATGGTCCGCAAAACTTTTTGGATACTTGAATTTACAGTAACCTTTTTTCTTTGTACAAGAATTTGTTGGGTTTAGATTACCGCATGGACCATGCATCATGTGTTTAAGAACAAGCGAATGTAAATCTGGTTCTGCATTCTCATCAGGTATTTCAGCTCTAATAATATTATCGTAAGCCTCTGGAGTAAGTAATTTGTATCCATTAGTTAATATTATAAGAAAATGAGCGTGTGGTAAACCTCACTTTTGGAACTCTACAGTAGACATAAAAGCTGCTACCTTTCCAAAGATATTTCGCTTTAGTATATCTTTTTTGAACTCTTCTATTTTCGATCTAAATACTCGACTGATCAAATTAGGCCTATTATACGACTCATCAGTTGGAATTAAATGTTCCTTTATCTCCGTCCAAGAGGGATTACATGTCATGGTTATAAATAAATCAGGTTTACCGAAATGTTGCACGAACGCAATAACATCCATGTACCGTTGTCGCATATCCCGAGGCCCTCCAATAAAGGAGCTTGGAAGGAAATTTTGTTTCCCAATATTAGAAGCATCGCGTTCACCCAATCTCAAGATGTCAAGAAGTCCTTCTAGCATAGCCGTCCTAAATAAATCTTGATTGAACGCTGCGAAATCCAACTTTTGCGTTTCGAGTTTAATGTATTCATCAATTGAATACTGCTGAAATATTCTTCCAATATGCAATATTTCATCTTCATCATCATTTCTCATTTGTAATTTGTAACAATAATACTCACGAATAGAAATAGTATCTCTTCGTCGCAGTCCCTTTTTAAGAATTTCATCTTCCATTTCAAGATATCCGTCAAGTGATGTAACATTTCTTATACTCGGTACCTCTTCGTGATGCGCAGTTCTTAAGTACGCAGGATAATTTGCTGGAGCTTCTTAATACCACAATGCCAGTCACTTTTCCCTAGCGGAAATAATAGCGGATATTGCATTGCATCATAACAGCCATAATAGTAGTTCACTATTTGTGTTCGATCAGTGCGAGGGTAAATTTGAATATGTGGTGCATTCAAGGCTACGCCATTATTTTCCTCGGTCCATATTGCTGCAAATTCAGATGAAGTCGGCAAATTGTATACTCTCTGGTCCAAATTTAAGTCGCATTTAAGGGCTATGTGAAAATCTTGAAGGTTCGATACATGTACCAAAGATCATAAAAACACAGAATATGGGTTTATTGATAATATATCCATCAATTCTTTCACTACTAATTCGTGAATTCTGTCGGAACATGCCATCATATGTGCTAGCTCATTGCAATTATCATAAAAGTATAACTGTATATTTCTTGGTTTGTCATCTGTAGGGTGAAAATTATTTATCCAATGGTACATCTTCCCTTGAACTCTAAATGTGTAGATACCAAAGTTTCTCTTTGCTAAATCTTTGTCATACTTTACACCAAATGAGGTGAACACAAAAAGGTTATTATACGTTCTAATGTATGTTCAGAAGTGTTTAGACTCCACATTGTTTCCAAGAAATAAATTTCGCAGCTTGGTAGGCATTTGATGAGAAGTTAACTTTATTGTTCCACTACCACAGCAATATGCAGGCGGTTCATATTCAAATCTCTTTGCTGCGCAAAATTTGCAGATTGGAACTTTTTTCAGCGGAACATAGTTTGAACGCAACCGACCGGTAATTGGAGCAAACTTTGTAGTTGGTACACGACCTATATGTTGGAAATAGACGGTTAAAATTAAGGTGAACGAAAGGAAACAATTATTGTTTCAGCAGACAGAAAACCAAACGAACCTCTACGTGTAACTATTTCGGAGTCTTTGTTACGTAGCTCACCGGGTGTTGTTGACGTTGAACCTAAGACCAAGTTATGTGGTCCTTAGATGGCACCAAATGATAACAAGTAGTATAAAAGTAAGCGTAGAAGGCGGCATACTCACCTTTTTCATAGATAGAAAGTGGCTGCACTACATCTCTTTCATTAACCGAAGCAGAAGGCGGAGGATGATCCTCAGACGTAGTAAAAGCTACATCGAAGAGAAAGCGTAGAGGAAGTTGACTATTTAAAGTGCGAGATAACTTTGCGAGATAAGGTGAAAGCGATGGGAGAACCGTATCTTCTAACCTGGATGCAGAATGTAAGAAGTGTTCATAGAGCATTCAGGTGGATCCATTATTCCAGTCAGGCAATCCACAGTTATATTCTCAATCGGTGCACGTGTTTTTGACTCTTGGTATTTAAGTCGATGTTGTAGTATCAACTTCTGTTTTTCTCTGCAGACATCGCTTTGTATTTTTCGCGCCTGTTGACATTCCTATCCGTTTCCGATAGAGGTCGCTTGATTTTTTTTTGTATGATCCATCACAATCGTAGTATCTACTCTTAAATGATACTGCGCAAATTGTCATAGCCTTTTAGAATTATATTAATTTTTATCACCGAGATGCATATCACAGGGCACGAAGTGACAAAATTGAGGCTATCTTTGAACAGATATAGTTACCCCAAGGAAGACAATATGGGAAGCGATAATGTCATGGTATGTTTTCGAAAAAGAAGTATGTTTTGGCTATTATTTTTCACACAGGTAACATTGAAGTCAAGTGAAATACCTCTGGACATCAACGTTTTGTACCTATAGGGGGAACAATTATAATTATTTGTAAAAAAAAAATTCTTCGTATGTAACATCCGCGCAAAGGAACTTTTCCAAAGGTATAGCTTCGCTAACTAAGCGGAAAAAATCTAACTAAAACATGACTCGAAGTGAAATAAAAGAAAGTGGACACCGTGATACGACATCAAAAACTAAAGACCGAATATCTCAAGCCAAAGTTTTTATTACGCACATAAATCAATTTACAAACAAGGAATAAACAAAGTAATTGTATAGAAGAAAATAGTGGACATCAGCAACCATTGGCAGTACAGCGGAAATGAGCAACAATGAACGCATTAATATGACCCAACGTGCACAAATATACGAAAATAAGATAGTTGGTTACCTTTACAGTGCTAAACTTCTTCTGCAAGTATGTTAATTGTACTGAACTTAGGAGAAACGCCAGCAATTCTACAAAGCCAAAAAATAATTTCAGTCATAATTCACCGATCAAGAATTTTATTCATAGGGAATATGAAGGCAATCAGAAAAGTTGAACGTAGAAGTATTACTGCAAAACATCAACATCATAGAGCTTTTAGGAGCATAGTATTAAGCTTTATAAGATTAATTTCAAGCCAAGATATCTTGAAAATAAAGGCGAAATTATTGAAAAGGAAAGGATGGGTCAATTTGTCTTCGAAATTTCAACAAATATTTATCAACAATCCTATAAGAACGTTCAGATAAAGTCAATCCAATTCCAGAATCATTATTGCATAAAACTTGGACATTGACAGTAAATTGTCCATTCAAATTATTTATATTCCTTTAACAATAGCTTCTACTTTTCATGGATTTTCCTCTCATAGAGGAGCATAAGAATCATTTAGTTTTTCCAAGCATATCATCCGACAGTTAATTGCACCAAAGACAACAAAATGGCAAATTTACATTCAAAAACTACTACAGAACTTTTGGCTCCACAAGTAAGACAAGCTCCAAATAACTGTGAAAGAATATTTGAAAGTGCAAAGCTCCGTACAAGGTAAAGTATTTTGTTTTGTTAACTTCTAGAGAGGCTTGCCTTACGCAAAGAAATATTAAGAGAAGGGGTTTACAATTAAGCCACATGTGCTCTCTTTGGCATGACCACTTGGAAGACAATAATCGTGTTTTTATTTGTTGCAAGGTTTCTAGGCAACTGTGCTTTTTATCTTCAACTTACTGGGCATGAAATGGTGCTTCCCAGAGAATATGTTGCGCTTCTTCAAGAGAGGCACAAATTAGGGCTGATCAACATAGAGCAGTACCACTTTGGTCCACTATAGCGATAACAATTTGGTGGGTCATAATATGGAGGAAAAAACCCGACAATTTTTTAAGACAAAGAGGAATATATGGTTAGCCATAAGCGGAAGTATCTCTATTTGCTCCTTTGTTGGTGTAACATGCTAGAATCAACGTTAATGACATAGAGGTCATGATAGAATTTATTAGTAATCTGCATTGATTGTACTTTGGTTGTTCATACCAACCAGCACTTGCTTTATGCTGATTTTTCCGATATAATACTACTCTGCCATTACTTATCAAAAAAAAATTATTTAGATTGGTATTTTTGTAGGTTTTACACTAATACTAAATTTCTTTACCTTGAACTGAAATATCTCATGCAGGACTCTCTATCTCAAATTTACAGCCATCCAACAGTACTATTTAATTTTACATTTAGAATCTTTATATATTTTTATCTTATAGCTACCACAAGCGTAAACTAAGAATCATTGGGAAGAGTACCCCCTAAAATCCATATATTTATTTGCTTATCACCAATTTCATTAGTTGTTTATTTTTTTTTGGGCTGTAATTTATCCATTATCCTATCAACATAAAAAAAAATGATCCCATTATCCAATCTCCTTTCTACTAAAGAATATGGAAGTAATACCAGTGTCAACCAGATGCAAAAAATGTCCAAATGTAAGATATGTAAGAGCATATACGACAACACTACTGCAAGTGGTGCACACAAAAACTGCCAAGAAAATACAAAAGCATTTGACACAATGAAGCATCAACTCACGACATATCAAACGTGCATATATATATGAGTCGGGATAAACTCACATAATAAATTAACTGTTATGCTTTTTTATTTTTTTGTCATGAATGAAATTGAGTGAATAATCACAGCTTTGTAGCAATCTAAAATGTCACTGCATGATAACTCTTATCAGTTGCCTTCAAAAATAGGATTATAATATATAACTCTGTTTGGTCGAGCTTACTCCATGTTAACTTTGTCCGGGGCGTGGGAAGCAACTGCATGTCCATAATTCTTCTATAAAATGTGCTTGAAAGACCAAATTTGTGGAAACTTGCTCTTTATGGCAGAATGTGCCCTATACAAACTTTTCAAATATGGTATGTAATCTTCACCTAATTCCGTAAGATTAAGAGCTTTCAGACCTTTTACTTTAATATAAACTCTTTCACCTAACCCCCGACATAAGCTCTTTTCAAGAAAACAAATAGGTTTGATAACGCCATGAATACACGCAAGTTATAATAAAGAACCTAGTAGAATCTTGTTTAAATTATTCATTTAAGTGTGCTTATAAACACAATTAGAGTTTCAGTAAATGAGCAACATTTTTGCTACATAACTTATTATCTACTTAAAGTCAGCTTTTGTTTATTGGTTATGACGGAAAGAATATCCGAACAACACTTCAAAGTTTACAAATTTTCATATGACAATTAGCAAAAAAGAATGTTTTTATCAGCTTCAACCTAGCAATATCTGTGATTAGAGTAGCTAATAAGATAATTATAGAAAGGTAATAAAGTCTCAGTGATTTCATAAATACTACACAACAGTAAAAGTTAAAACACAATAAAAGATAAACATTTGCACATAATTACATTAGAGATACCTAGAGCACTACAGGTTCATAACATATAATGACAAACAAGGTTATATTAACACTTGGAACAAAGAGAATGTTTTTTCAGTAACTAAAAATGTAAGATCTGCAGAAACTCTGAATTTTTCAATCCAAAATCACTTGTCTTACTGTTACGGGGTTATGAAATAAAATTAACTCACTGATTACTAACCTAAAAAGAGCATTATAAACCTGCGACATGCTACCATCACATCTTCTTCCTATGGCCTAAAATAATAAGTTATAAAAACCCATTCATCAACATCCAACTTATCATAGACATAGTAACCGTAACTTTCACTGCTATGGAGTTAAACGATTGTGCAAATAGAACATGAGGTTGGGTAATATAGAACATAATGAAGAAGATCTCTTTCTTGGTAATTTGGATAACACTAAATCTTTCGACGAAGTCGCATATAGTAGGAAAGTTCGAGAGTAAACATATAAAATCTGAAGGAGGGGGTAGAAAACGAAGCAAGAAGTACTCACTTGTTCCAGCCAGCAAGCAGAGACACTTAAAGGAACAGAGCAGTAAGTCAGAAAACCCAAAGTAAAACAGAAGTTGTTGCAAATATTATTAGTGTCACCCCTATTCGGATATCCATCCAAATACAGGTGCTACACATCTGGAGAAACAGCTGACAGCAGCAGAAGCAAGAACTGGTTTGTCTTCCACGTCGATGGAAAAGGCGCGTATCGTAAAGCGCACAAACTGAAAAGACTGCTATAGAAAATACAAACTGAGCAGAGTGACAAAAATACCCCGACTTTTGATCCAAAAAAAGGGACCTAACTGTAAATCGGAAGCAGGACGACGAAGAGTCCAACCTAAAGTTGAAGACGATTCTTCTGCTGGATAAAATCCCGAAATTACCCTTTTGGACAGCAAGCAGGACGACGAACATGCCCTTAACTCCCGCTTCTAAATAGTAGTAATAATAATAATGTATGTAACACTGTTCGTTTATTTATTTATTTATATATGTATTTATTGCTAAACTAGTAATTCGTTTTTTTTTTTGATTTTTTTCTGACAGAGGATTTTTCATTCTAGTTACTATATATTACTATAAGAAAAAATATGTTGAAATTGAAAAAGTGCTGTGTAATTTGGTTCTTGTGTTCAGCGTAAAATACTTCCTTTAATTTAGAATATTCTCACGGACACTAACACTTAAAATATGATAATCACTTTTTATGATTGAATCAAATCGACCAAAAAAAATCGATATACTTTTGGTTTGTTTTGGTTTTGAATTTTAAAACCGATCAAATTTGGTTTGGTTTTGATTTTAATTAAAAAAACTAGTATTAGCACCCGCGCAGATGCGCGGACACTAACCATGTTAAATATTTGAGTTATTTGGATTATACGTAAAAAATCTTAAAATTTAAACCTTCTCGATAAATATAAATAATCATTAGATATTAATTAAGACATGAAAATGATTAAACATTTCTCAAATCTCATAGTTATAATTCTATTTTTCTTTTTTAGTACCATTCTCGCCGGTGACATTGGATCAAAAAAATAGTCAGAAAGCAAAATAATAACTCATATTTATGGCAAAACAATCAAAGGTTGAAACTATGAAGGACTCTTTGGATACGACTTGACTCTTTTACTACTGCTTGAACTCTTATTTGGTGTGTTGATATATTCTAAAATTATTTCTATTTTAAATATTCAGTTTCTAAAATTTTATTTTTCAATAATAATTATTTTTATAACAATGTAAGTGAAAATATTATCCTTAATTCAAAACTCATTTTAGTCGGCTATCTAAAATTTAAAAAGTTCTTTAGCCAGTGATTTTCTTTCTAGTATGACTCCATTTTGATATTTGATATTAACCATGTTAAATATGTGAGTTATTTGAATTATATGTAAATAACCTTAAAATTTAAACGTTCTAGGTAATTACAGATAATCGTTAGATATTGTTTGTGAAACACTACATGAAAAAAGGCTAACATTTTCTCAAATCTCGCAGTGATAATTTTATTTTTGCACCATTCTTATTGGTGTTATTAGAACCTAAAAATAGTCACGAAATAATAACTCGTATTTATGAGCTTTGGAAAAGCACAAAGGTTGGCACAATATGAACGATTCTTTGGTTACGACGTGACTCTTTTACTACTACTTAAATACTTATTTGGTATGTTATTATGTTTAAAAAAATATTTCTATTTGAAATCTCAATTTCTACAAAATTATATACTATATTTCAATAAAATAATTATTTTTATAATGATGCAAGTGAAGATATTATCCTTAATTTAAAATTCATTTTAATCGCCTAGCTAAAAATTTAAATGATTCTTTAGTCGGTAAATTTTATTTCGGTGTGACTCCATTTTGAGTTTATCGATATCTCTAGCCATAAATTTTAAATTTTGAATACCCTATACGTATACAGATTTTTTTTCTCTGAATCATTAAATGTTAGATTAATTGATTGTTATTATATAAGCGAAATACATAAACAGCCCCTCTAAGTTGTCCACAACGGTCATTTGAACACCTTAACTTGTCATGTGACCAGATGGACACCTCTGCTTGGTAGAAGTATATTCTCTTAAACTCCTTACGCTGACATGGCAAATTTTGTGTGTTACCCTTACATTTAAGAGCGTGAAGATCTTTAAAATTAGGCTTATCTTCTTTTTTTCCCCTAAAATCAATGTGGATCCCACTATTACACCACCCCATAACCATGATTCTAGATGGGGAGGCTATTGCAGACGATGGAGGGTGTCGAAGAGAGGGAGTATCTCGCCGAGGCTGTTACCGACGATGCTTGTAAGTGTAATATTGCTCTTCCCTTTCTCTATTCTTTCCTTCATTCATCACTCCCTTTCAGCTCCTCCATATATTGCTCTCCCCCTCTCATTTTAATTTCCTCATCAAGTCTCTCCAAACCTAACCAAATTCACCAGCCTAAAAACTCTCAGTTCTAAACCAAAAGCTTTTACTTTGTCATTCTTTTTGCCCTTGTTTTTATCGCCTTCTCTCTAGTTTTGTCGCCAGTTGAATCACAACGTTAATTTCATCAACTAGATAATTAACGCTTACCCTGTTGAGCAAAATTCACATAGAGTTCAAATTTTTCACTTTCAGTTTGAATTCTTGATTACATAGAAAAATTGGAGTCTACATCAGAGAAACTCTCTTTTTGATTCAATTCCTAGAAGGTATTAGATAGAAATTAATCAATTATATAGTCAAAGTTTTGTTATTTGTTTGATATCCATTTATATAAATTGACTCTTCAAACAAATATTTTTCAAAAAGAAAAAAAACAACTTGTATTGAATATTGATTGATTTTTGTAATGTTTCTTTCTCCAGCATGTAGGTTTACTTCATTATATATGCAAGTAAATTTTTATCAACTTTTAAGCTTTTTTTGTTATAAACATAGACGTGTACCTTATATATTATATTTATTTTAAAAGAAATTCGCTTTATTCAAATCTAGCTATAGTATTTTAAAGAATTATAATTATAGGATTTTAAATGTAAAAGAGTTTATAGTTATATGGAGTATTTTTTTTTTTGCCAGAGGCGAAGTAGTATTTACATAATCTGAATTAATATAACAAAAGTACCTAATATAATTGCATATGATCACTAACCGAATTAACTATGATAACATGGTAATAAAAGATTTTTTTTATTTTNTATATATGTATACAAAAATTTGTGGTACATGTTAATCGTTTGCACTTTTAGTCTAGTTTTTTCTATTATAATAATCTAGTTCTTTGCCTTTCAATGCTAATTTGATTGGTACTTTTCTTTTGCCAAATACTTACAAGAATCTATTTCACGTAAAAAATAATCTATTTTTAGTTGAATGCTTAAATTATTCATCACTATTTGGTTCAATTATCATTAATATATCCTGGTAAATTACAGATTTTTCAAGGAGCAATTGGTTTGACATGTTACGTTGAAAATGTAGTCGTTTGAAAATGTATTTGGTTGTGTAAAATCAATAAATAACCGAAAAAATGAGAAAAGTCGCTCCAAACCGAATCGATAAACACTGATTTAATTTAATTAGTTTGGTTGGGTTTCAATATTTAAAAAATTGACTTATTTGATCTGAGTTGCTTTTTAGGGAAAACTCGATTCAAATCAAACCACAAATATTTTTAATGATGAGAAAGTACTTTCTACTTTATAGATCAAAACCTATGGGAAATCCCTAACTTGTTTTCCTATGTAAAGTGTGATTATTCACTCCATATAATATGTTCCGTTCCAATTTATCATTTCATAACCTAATCAACTTGAGATTTGAAGTAGGAGGACTAAAATTACTTTATATTTGGTGCAAAGTTAAATATATAGTTTTCATATTTTTTGAAACAAAATCATATAATAAAATATTGCAAGTTATAATAATTACTGATCACCGATCAATGTATATAAAAACTAGTGTAGAACTTTTGTAGTCAAAGAAATTTTCTTGACTTCCAAATAGTAACAATATTACATAGAATAGAGTCGAAATTGGCAAGTATATCTGTATGCGGTGGAAATTGGGACCACCTGATTTCGTCCCTCGATGGAAAAAGTGATATCATATCTGAAGACAAGGACTTCGAGCTCGGAGTCAAAGTTTTTTTCCAAGGTCGAGGTCGATAACACTTATTGAGGTCAGAAGAAGACGTGCTTTGAGATGATGTCGGTATGATTCAGTAACGGAATGGATTGGTATTCGGCAGTTAAACAAGATTTCCTACTATAATTAGAAGTATACCTTATTTAGGATTTTCTTACTATATAAAGGGAGATCTCACTCATTTGTAAAATTCATTATTCACTGATAAGAAAATATACACACATTATTCTTTTGTTATTTCACTTACTATTCATCAGAATTGTTTTATCATTTATTATTCCCGTTATCATAGCCTGAGATTATCACAGATCGAGGTTGAGATTTAGCTTACACACTTGTTTGATCTATTTTAATATTTTTTAATTTATCTATTTAATTTTTTATTTATTAATTAGCATTAAATTAAATTACATATTCTCAAAACTACAGTACAAGTTTAATTGTTATTCCCGATGAACATAAATAACCATGCCTAGCTAGAACATAACCAGGAAAGAAGTGACTTTGAACATACTTTAATTTTCAAGGTTTCAATCACCATACAACCGCCACCACAACTGCCACCACCACAACTGCTACCTCCATAGCCGCCGCCGCCGACTTCACAAGCGCTGCCACCTTCAGAACTACCGCCACCTCCAGAATCGAGGCCACCTTCAGGACGGTGAGTACTGGTGTGGTGGCCGACATAGCTATCACTAATGTTGTCCACGGTGTAATAATGGACAGTGTCGTCACAGCGTTTGATATTTTTGCAATTTTTAGGAGCAGGAGGTCTGGGCTTGTTGGTTTTCGTTATCTTTGCCACCTCTTTTATCCTTGATAAGCGCGAACCCATTGCTTACGGAGTGACGTACTACATATGAGAAAATAAAAGAATATATTACTATAGGAGAAACTGGTACGTACGTAGAGCAAGAAGATAAGTAATGATTGGTCCAAGGTGTGTAATATTTTTCGAATTTGTTTCTTGCTGTAGATAGATATAACTGAAGATCTTATAGAACAACAAAACTTTAGAGAAAGTTCAAGGAAGATTTGATCATCCTCCTCCACCGAAATCCCGTTATCTAGTTGTGTTAGGATTCTATACGCACGATCCACCTATTTCTTTTCATTATCTAATATTTTAATTGATATAACATTTTATTATTTCCTTATATGATGACCACATTAGGATACCAGTAAATTCCCTTACCAACTTTTAAATTCTTTTTTTATTATTTTAAATTTCAAGTTCTTAAGGTACTAAAAGTTCATTATTTTTTGTATAGTGACATGCATTAACTTTTCTTTCCAATAACTTTTTTTTTTCAGTTTATCAAGTTTTTAATATTACAACTTCGCCTTATAATTAAGAACTTCTTAAAATGTTTTTACGATACTTTGCACCTCTTCATGGCCGGTTTATGCGCAAGCAGAAACACAGTGAAATGTTGCTTCTTTTTCACTTCACCGTTAGCGCTGACCTTTCGGTTAGCTTTATTAAAATTCTGTTAGCCTTGGTTTAAAACTGACCAATTTTGTAAACTTAAAGGACTATTGGTATCTATCATTAAACATAAGTGACCAAATTAGATCTACCCCCATATTTAAAGGACTATATTTTATCTTTTTTGTCACATAAAATGATTGCTCCACCAAGAGTATCGATGGGATGACACAGAAATGGACGAAATTAGCTCAACCCCAACTCTTCTGAACAGCAAAAAAACCATCATCGCCAAAGATTTGTCTCCAGAGTCTATTTCTAAGACCAATAGCTTTTTAAAAAATATGGGTGTCTTCAACCTTACTTTTCCTGCCCAGTATGATACTAAGGACTCTTTCTCTGAACTCACCCGTTGCTGCCTCAAGGTCCAACACATCCACCGTGGCAAGATTTCCTGTTTTCTCTCTGTTAAACCTCCTATAATGGTAAATAATTTAATTTTTTACTATTGGGTCTTTATTGTATGTGTTATTTGGTTGAAAAGATTGAATCTTTTTTAATATTGTTTGGTTCCAATTTTCTTGGAATATGTCAGATGTTTGTATTATGTGTTGATTTAGCTTTTTGGATCCTTTTCCTTTTCAGCTTTTTTAGATTCCCAGTTCAGTAGAGAAAAGAATTTCTCTATTCTTATTATCCTTAATTGATTACTAGGAGTATTAATATAGATAATACCGCCTTGATCGGATTAAGAATACTTATATTAGGTACTGTGTTTTTGCAATTTTGAGGAGCTCTAACTTTAGAAAACCCCTAACTTGTCTTAAAATGACTAATTATTAACTCTATTTAGTATTGCAATGAAATTGACCAAATGGAGCAAAATGATTACAGAGGATTCATACCACCACTCCCAGTTAGTTCTGAATTGAGGCGTAGTTGATTGATCTATTGATGGCAAAGTTAGTTCCTAAATTTCTGAATGTTACTATCAAATCATAATTTATGGACAAAACATCCCCAAAGTGTGAATTCCTTAGTGGTTGAGGTGTAGTTGATTGATTGATTAGTGCGTAGAAGACAACCAGTGATCAAAATAAAGATTTTAATTTTTCTGGTGGGTGGACAGCAGCATCTGTTAAATGCTGACACTACTATGCCAGTATCTGATTTTCGGTAGGTTAGGTATTGAATAGGATTGAGAAAGATGATGAGGTTAATGGGATCCTAGTTTTCTGGGGAAGGTGTATTAGAACAGAGACTGGTTGTATGGACATATTGGTTCTATTCAACGGCTTCAAAAAAAATTGTCTATTCCGCATGTCTAATTATCTCAGTTCATTCTGTTTCATTTTTCGTGGAGGGTTGGAGGTGTAAAGGGAGAGGTTAGGGGAACAGATATTATTTTGATGATATTTAAGTGAAACTTAAGGAGATACTTGAAGTTGAGAGGCTTCAGGACTTGCCTTTGGATTTTTGTTATCAGATAGCATATGCATTTTATTTAGCATGGCACTGATATTACTGTGGATTTGAGGTATCCCCAATTCTGAAACTGCTATTTGATCTATTCTGTCAAACGGAGTTTTACTCATTTACCTTGGAATTGAAACAACTGCTTCTATTCCACTTAATGGGCTAAGACGGGAAGCCTAAGAGTTTCATCTGTACTTTTATAGCATTGCCAGCCAAAACAAAAAGGGAAAAAGGGGGCAGCGTTTGTGGGGGGAGGGGAGGATTCAAGAGGAAAAAAAGAAGTGATTTCAAACCATTTCCATTGTTTAATAGACTTGACATCTCTATTTGACCTCCTTCACGATCCATGTATACTTTCTACCTTGTGGAATACTGCAGAGAAATTTTTCTGGATACAATTAGCAACTCCCAAGTTGCATCATATACCAGTGCATCAAGTGTATACTATGTTCTCTTCGGTATTTAGCTGTTTCTCGCCTCGTTTTCTTTTTATCTTGTTCTCGTTACTGACTTGTTGCTACTGCTCTATTTTTCGTTTTTCCTCGTGCCGAGGGTCTACTCAAAACAGCCTCTCTACATTCACTGTAGGGGTAAGGTCTGCGTATTCACTACCCTCCCTAGATCCCACTTATGGGATCATAAGGGGGTGGTGGTGTTTGTTGTTGGTATTTTGCTGTTTCTGACAAATTAAGAGTGCTGAAACACATGGGTTTTTCCTTGCAGAATATCTATGGTTCACTGCACGGAGGAGCTGTAGGAGATGTAACAGTAAGGATAGCAACTGCTTGTGCCCAAACTATTGTTGGAAAGGATAAAGAGCTCTTTCTTGGAGAATTGAGCATATCTTATCTCTCCGGTGCTCCTCGAAATGTGAGTCTCTAGGTATTTGTTTTTCCTGTCAGCATTCTCTGTGTTAATGCAATGCTTGTAGTTTAAGCATCAAGGAAGAGCATATCGAGATTTGTATGTGGTTCAACTTTTGTTTGCACCTGTGACAGTGCTGAGTGTTTCTGAATCTTCTTACAATTTTATAAAAACTGCACAGGTTTTATTTGTTAACAGCAAACATAGCGAACCCATAAAGAAATATTGGATTAGAAAATGATAAAACTGGCTTAGACTTATAGAGTAGGAACATGGCTGTTATGTTGAATCTTGTTTTAGCATTCTATTTACTTACTGAGGTCTGAAAATATATTCGTCATCAGAACAAGTTAGTTATTGTCTGCAATATTTCATTTCTTGTGGTCTAATCCGCGTCCTGCCTTTTCTCTAATTTTTTCTCCTTTTGTATTGGAGATACCCACAGGCAGAAGCAATAGTTAATGCAACCGCTATTAGAAGTGGAAGAAACTTGACTGTAGTTGCAGTGGATTTTAGACTTAAGGATTCTGAGAAACTGAGTTACATCTCTCATGCAACGTTCTATCACATGCCCGTAGCAAGTTTATGAACTAGACTTGATCCAACACATTAAGTCGAGACATCCTGGTACGTGTGTTCTTCAATATGTGTCCTGAAACTTTTCTGACCTCCCAATGTGCAAAGTTGCTTCATTTTTTTACTGAATCTAGCTATAGTAATTAGTTTCCAGGTCTCTGATAATGCACATCCAATTTCTTCTCCTTGACAAGGTTTGGAGCTAAACAACATTACTTGGCTACTCAAATTGTTTATTGAAGAACTTCTAATTTGAGGAGTTTAGTCAGATTAAAGCATACTATTTTCCCCCCTACCCTGATAAGCAGGGGCAGATTTAGGGAGGGCGGAAGGGGGTTCACTCGAATCCTCTTCGCCGGAAAATTACACTGCACATATAAGGCAAAATCCGTTTTGTTCCTCTATATATTATATTTGAATTGCGCATATAAGGCAAAATCCGTTTTGTGCCTCTATATATTATATTTGAATCGCCCTGACACAATCTAAAAGCATTGCTTAGTGGTTAAAGGGGAATCAAAACCTCTGTGAAGTTGTTGGATCAATTCCCACTGGCCATAGTCTCTTTTCTTTGAACCTCTTACCAAAAATCCTGCATCCACCACTGTTGATAACCTTTTTAATCAGCTCGGTTCACGATGTATTGACGTGTATCGGTCCCAAAACTTATGTTTCCTTTGTTGTTGTTCACTCGCATGTGCTTTTCTTTTAATCAAAAATACCTAAGCAATATCTCTTTGTCTACAAAACAGGTAGAAAGACCAGATAAGTCACAACGTTGAGGGATTACAAGAGTTTCACGATTTTATCAGAATTGGGAAAAGTTCAGCTGTGTTGCTGGAGCAAAGATATATCTGTTTCCCTGTTTGCTGTATTTAGAAACGATTGTGTAGATAAAGTTGTGTGCCAAATAGTGATAATATGTGGGCAGAGGCATATAAGTGATGGCATCATAGTCCTGTTACAAACTCAGTAATGCAATAACACTCTTGTTAAGAACTGAGCATTGACGACCAAAAGACCTATACAATTTCAGTAAAACAACTTAACCAGCATTTTCAGCATTTGTTCTTAAAAAGAGCTGGAAAACTAATTTGAAAAGTTACCTTTAAGAATTGCAAAAAATTGAATTTCGAAATCTTCAAATTTTATCTATCCATTTTGCGCAATAAAAAAAAAACAAACAATTTGAAACATGAGTTTGAAAAGCCAGCCTGGTATAATATGGACATGGGATCTATAGCTCTAACGGGATAAGAAGGAAATTAGTGAAAAGAAAAAGGTTAGAATGTTTTTAGCCATAAAGCCAATTTACGGAAAAGGGTTTAAAATGCCCCTAACTATTGGAAAATGTTTACAAATACCCTTCATCCACCTATTGGGCTAAAAATGCCCCTCCATCTATTTTTTTAGTTCATTTATGCCCTTTGACCGTTAGGTCAATGCTAAATTAAAAATAATTATTATTCTTTTTGTAAAGCTTAAAAAAAATTGCAAAATATTTTTGTTCTTTTAAACTAATGCACCAATAGTCTACTAATTTAGTAAAGTCTTCTTTCTTTTTCTTTTTTTCAGTTTTTACTAAAAAATAATTAAGTTTTTACAAAAAAAATAATTTTTTTCAGTTTTTAAAGCATTTTTTTTTGTAAAAACTGAAAAAAAAATATTTTTAATAAAATATTTTCAACAAAATATTTTCGTTTTAGAAAAATATTTTTTTTCCAGTTTTTTTAAAGCATTTCGTTTTATTTTCATTTTTCAGTTTTTTTTAAAGAAAAAAAATCGTTTTTTTAAAAAAATGAAAAAAAAATATTTTTCAAAAACGAAAATATTTTATTTAAAAACATTTTTTTTCTGTTTTTACAATTTTTACAAAAAAAAATGCTTTAAAAAACTGGAAAAAAAATATTTTTTTGTAAAAACTGAATTGTTTTTTGTAAACACTAAAAAAAAAAAGAAAAAAAAGACTTTACTAAATTAGTGGACTACTAGTGCATTTGTTTAAAAAAACAAAAATATTTTGTAAAATATTTTTTCTTAAGTTTTACAAAAAGAATAATAATTATTTTTAATTCAGCATTGACCTAACGGTCAAAGGGCATAAGTGAACTAAAAAGGTGGATGAAGGGGTATTTTTAGCCCAATAAATTGATAAAGTGTATTTTTAAACTTTTTCCAATAGTTTAGGGGCATTTTGAACCCTTTTTTCGGCCAATTTATTAACTCCAGATTAAGCATGATGTCACACAACGAGGCTTCCAAGCCAAGTTAGTCAATTAAGTAGAAGTGACACCAGATAGTTACTCTAAAAGACTGCTATTTAGGAATTAGCGAATACATCCTGAATTTCAGTTTTTCAGTTTAATTTTTTAGGACAAAATATCCTGAATTGTCCAGATTTTAAGTTTAAAATTTCAAGAAAAAATAAGTATTGACTAATCTTTAAATAACATTCCTGAGAGTGACTATATGTGCACTTGTCCCGTCAATTAATTGGTGTGCTCATATAATTGGTGTAAAACTTAGAATAGTTGATGTTCGCCTTATTTTACACTCTTTGCCTTCCAAATTAATAGCTTGCTTGGCCAAATTTCTTTTTAGTCAAAAGTATTTTTTTTTTTACTTTTATAAGTGCTACTTTTAAAAATTAAAGTATTTGAGCAAGTTTTTAAATGGACAAAAATATTTTTGAGTAAAAGCAGAAAAAAGTTTTGAGAAAAATACACTCAAAAGTAATTTTTAAAATCTTGACCGAATGCTAATTACTATTCAAAAATAATATTTAAAACACAAAGTAACTGATTCATAAAAAATAAAAAAGACCTTATTTTAGAAACTTGGCCAATAAGGGTGAAAAAGAGGTCAATGAAATGAATCGATAGTCAAAATTTTAGTCTTAAACAAACGTTTGAATTCTTGATCAGATAGCAAAGTTTCTGTATCAGGGCGGGGAGTAGGTGGGCAGAGAGTGAAGAAGGCAAAAGAGATGGGGGAAGAAAGTTCAAAACCCAACTATTTCTATACAAAAGCAATCATCTCCGAAGAATTATCAGAGGCGGCGGCTTCTTTTGTGGATCATATCTTCCGCCATGTGTTGTCACTCGACGCACCCAACTTTCCGCCCCAACATGATGCTAAAGACTCCTTCTCTGAATTCACTCGCGGCTGCCTCAAAATCCATAGCATCCACCCCGGGAAAATCTCCTGCATTCTTTCTGTCAAACCTGCTATCTCGGTAATTCATTTCTAAAGTTTTCACTTTTGTAGCATCTTTTTTCTCTATTCATTTTATTCAGCTTTGGGCTAAGTTCTGAGGAAAACCCCTTTTAAAATTCTAGCTTCCCCGTTCAATGGAATTAAGAATTATGCAAATTATTGGAAGGGTTGAGAGTATTGACATACTGGGGTCCATAAAGCGTACACCTCTTTATGCAATTTATTGATGTATTGATGGATCATCCTGTGTGGA